TACACAAACAAATATATATATATATATATATATATATATATATATATATATATAATTACTTATTTCATTCATCTAAATAAAGTGTGTAACGTTTCCTGCATTCCACGCAAAACGCAGTGACAATAAAGCAGCAAATTACCATGTTACTACTTACGTATCCATTCGAAATAGATGTTTTCTTGAATCAGAGAAAATTATAAATCCATTCAGTTCGCGATGAGAAAAGGTCGAAGCTTGTTATCTGAAATACTAGAATACAGACGCTCTTGTGATAAGGGGTATAAAACGAAACCACAACTATTTTGAAAGGAGTTAATATGAATAGAGTTTATTTACCATTGAACTGATGGACCTTTGCAGTCTCTTCTCACATATACAAGAGTTAGCTACAATTTTATCTATTACTATTATTATGATTATTATTATTATTATTAATAATAATAATAATAATAAATAGTTGTTGTGGTGGTGGTAGTTTTAGCTCTGTTCAAAGCGACAGTAAACCTAATTAATACGTTGTGATTTTGATGATTACTCTGGAGTTGGTTAATTATTTCACCACAATGAAAATATTCTCTTCTAGAAAGTAAGTGGAGGTATGAAATGAAAAGAAGCATTAGGATGAAAAAGAAAAAAAAAATGGGGCAAAAATCTTGTGCAATAAGCAGACGACAAAAGAGGAAAAGCAACAGACGAGAAGCGGGAAAGTAGCCTGACTTGTAGCTGAAATAGTTATGTCATTCAAGCCAATGCCAGAATACTGATTTTCAAGGCAGAGCTTCGAATGCAGATTACAGAGCAGGCATTTCTCCAGTTGGACAAAAGGAAGTTCGACTCAGACAGCCTCTTCCTCAGAACTGTCACTTTAGTGAACAAACTACCGAATGGATGATTCCCGGCCACTACAATCAAAACCTATTCAAGTCTTAGGTCAACCAATATTTATTCTTCATGTCCTCATATACGGGTCTCCCTCCGTTCTTTACGCACTCACAATAATCTCATTTAGTAGCCCTTTACCTTGAGTGGCTCTTGGGTTTTTTTTTATTTGGTGAACAATAATAAAGAAATCTGGTATAATTCAATCTTCCTAACTTCAGGACCGCCATCCCTTTCGTCATGTATCGTATTCAACTAAACTTAGAAGACGTGTAGGACAATAAAAAAAAGAAAGGAAAAGGCGATAAGGAATGTAAGAAATCAAAGATGAACGTATTAGTCAAGGAAGGGAATGAGGGGTAAAGTCAAGACGAAGAAGAAAATTTTAAAAAATTAAATTGTAAAAATGTTAGTTATGCGACGGAATAAAAAATTAACTCAGAATAAAAATTGTAGAATTCACCATGGTTCATCGAGATAATAAAGTATTTAAAGAAAATTATATTTTAAACTTGATAATCTTTCCACGCCTATATAAAAAAAATATCTATATTAAAATATCGTAATATGGTTATATCACGACTGAGTGTCCCCGCTGTTGAAACTAATCAAAAATGTCCTAAAACTGGAAATACTGCAGAGAAAAGTTTAATGGAAAATTTCGATATCACCTGCATCCATAAAAATGTTGGAATTCTGATTGGATAATGGATGATACTGTCAACTTGGCTTAAACCGAACATGACTGCTGCCCGGCAACCATGTTGCAGCGAGACAGAATATTGATATTTCTGCATTGAAAATACCATAGAAAGTCTGTATAGTCAATCAATGGTCGCCCAAGAGGTCGACTGATTAAAGCAGCAGTGAATTGAACTTATGCAGAATCTAGCCTCGATCTATCGAGCCAAAATATCAGAATAATGCAGACGACTCAAAATAGTTTTCACTAATTGAATACAATGACAACCAAGGTGAAGCATTCTTATTATGACACTTCTATGTCTTCGTTTTAAACATATTATATATATAGTCAAGTAAAATATACAGTCGCCTAAAATACATATAGTAAGCTAAAATTGACGAATATGACATTTTTAGAATGTTGAGAATAATAAAGTTTAATATTTAATATTGATATTTCTGACGGGAAATAGACTGGAAGCTGAAGACATTACTATATTCTTTTATTCGATTCCGTGATATTGTCTTCAAGAACAATCTGGTAAAATTTTGCGAAAAAAAAAAATGAAATTACTCCAATTCCAGTATTCGTTTGTTAAGCATTTATTGAAAAAAATCCAAATCGTTTTTTTTTCTTCATTTGTGGAATTCAAGATCTTTTAAAAACTCTAGGATAAATTTGACGATGATAAAAAGAATAATTGAATTAATATTTAGCAAAAATAAATTCTAAGTAAAATTGTAACTCTCGTTCATATGGACAATTTCAGTTATGCAGCAAATTTAATTTTGTTAATCATCTTAATATTAATGGAAGATATCTACAAAACTAAAAGAAAATCATTAGTTTTAATTCTTCAATACATTATCTGTATAGGCAATAAAATAATGCCAGAGGTTCGAGAATTTCTTGTATAAAACGGTCAGCATCCAGTAGACATATACAGATAGAAAACGAGACCAGATGTGTAGACAGTAGACATATACAGATAGAAAACGAGACCAGATGTGTAAAACGATGAACATATACAGATGAAAACGAGACCAGATGTATAGACAGTAGACATATACAGATAGAAAACGAGACCAGAAGTGTAGACAGTAGACATATACAGATAGAAAACGAGACCAGATGTGTAGACATATACAGATAGACATATACAGATAGAAAAACAGACCAGACCAGATATGATGAAAACGACCAGATGTATAGACAGTAGACATATACAGATAGAAAACGAGACCAGATGTGTAGACAGTAGACATATACAGATGAAAACGAGACCAGATGTGTAGACAGTAGACATATACAGATAGAAAACGAGACCAGATGTGTAGACAGTAGACATATACAGATAGAAAACGAGACCAGATGAAAACGAGACCAGTAGACATATACAGATAGAAAACGAGACCAGAAGTATAGACAGTAGACATATACAGATAGAAAACGAGACCAGATGTGTGGACAGTAGACATATACAGATAGAAAACGAGACCAGACCAGATGTGTAGACCAGTAGACATATACAGATGAAAACGAGACCAGATAGACATATACAGATGAAAGGAGACCAGAAAAAAGAGACCAGATGTGTAGACATATACATATACAGAAAAACGAGACCACATGTGTAGACAGTAGACATATACAGATAGAAAACGAGACCAGATGTGTAGACAGTAGACATATACAGATAGAAAACGAGACCAGACCACATGTACAGATAGAAAACAAGACCAGAAGTATAGACAGTAGACATATACAGATGAAAACGAGACCAGATGTGTAGACAGTAGACATATACAGATGAAAACAGAGACCAGATGTGTAGACAGTAGACATATACAGATAGAAAACGAGACCAGATGTGTAGACCAGTAGACATATACAGATAGAAAACGAGACCAGATGTGTAGACAGTAGACATATACAGATAGAGACCAGATACAGACGGTAGACAAACAGATAGAAAACAGATGTGTAGACAGTAGACATATACAGATGAAAAACGAGACCAGAAGACATACGAGACCAGATGTGTAGACAGTAGACATATACAGATGAAAACGAGACCAGCAGTATAGACAGTAGACATACAGATACAGATAGAAAACGAGACAGATGAAAAACAGAGACCAGATATAGACAGTAGACATATACAGATAGAAAACGAGACCAGATGTGTGAACAGTAGACATATACAGATAGAAAACGAGACCAGACCAGATATACAGATGAAAACGAGACCAGAAGTATAGACAGACATACAGATAGAAAACGAGACCAGATGTAGACAGTAGACATATACAGATAGAAAACGAGACCAGATGTGTAGACAGTAGACATATACAGATAGAAAACGAGACCAGATGTGTAGACAGTAGACATGATAGACAGTGTAGACAGTAGACATATAGATATAGAAAACGAGACCAGATGTGTAGACTGTAGACATATACAGATAGAAAACGAGACCAGAAGTATAGACAGTATATACAGATGAAAACGAGACCAGATGTGTGACAGTAGACATATACAGATAGAAAACGAGACCAGATGTGTAGACAGTAGACATATACAGATAGAAAACGAGACCAGATGTGTAGACAGTAGACATATACAGATAGAAAACGAGACCAGATGTGTAGACAGTAGACATATACAGATAGAAAACGAGACCAGATGTGTATAGACATATACAGATGAAAACGACCAGATACAGACAGTAGACATATACAGATAGAAAACGAGACCAGATGTGTAGACAGTAGACATATACAGATAGAAAACGAGACCAGATGTGTAGACAGTAGACATATACAGATAGAAAACGAGACCAGAAGTATAGACAGTAGACATATACAGATAGAAAACGAGACCAGATGTGTAGACAGTAGACATATACAGATAGAAAACGAGACCAGATGTGTAGACAGTAGACATATACAGATAGAAAACGAGACCAGAAACATATACAGATGAAAACGAGACCAGATGTAGACAGTAGACATATACAGATACAGACCAGATGTGTGAACTGTAGACATATACAGATAGAAAACGAGACCAGATGTGTAGACAGACATATACAGATAGAAAACGAGACCAGATGTAGACAGTAGACATATACAGATAGAAAACGAGACCAGATGTAGACAGTAGACATATACAGATGAAAACATATACAGAGACCAGATGAAGTATAGACAGTAGACATATACAGATAGAAAACGAGACCAGATGTGTAGACAGTAGACATATAGATGAAAACGACCAGATACAGATACAAAGAAAACGAGACCAGATGTGTAGACAGTAGACATATACAGATAGAAAACGAGACCAATGTAGAGAGACATATACAGATGAAAACGAGACCAGATGTGTAGACAGTAGACATATACAGATAGAAAACGAGACCAGATGTGTAGACAGTAGACATATACAGATAGAAAACGAGACCAGAAGTATAGACACAGTAGACATATATAGATAAAAAAGAAAACAGAGACCAGAATATACAGATAGAAAAACGAGACCAGATGTGAGAGACATACAGATAGAAAACGAGACCAGAAGTATAGACAGTAGACATATACAGATAGAAACGAGACCAGATGTGTAGACAGTAGACATATACAGATAAAACGAGACCAGATGTGTAGACAGTAGACATATACAGATAGAAAACGAGACCAGATGTGTAGACAGTAGACATATACAGATAGAAAACGAGACCAGATGTATTAGACAGTAGACATATACAGATAGAAAACGAGACCAGATGTGTAGAGACATATAGATAGAAAACGATATAGATAGATAGAAAACGAGACCAGAAGATAGACAGTAGACATATACAGATGAAAACGAGACCAGAAAGACAGTAGACATATACAGATGAAAACGAGACCAGATGTAGACAGTAGACATATACAGATAGAAAACGAGACCAGATGTGTAGACAGTAGACATATACAGATAGAAAACGAGACCAGATGTGTAGACAGTAGACATATACAGATAGAAAACGAGACCAGATGTGTAGACAGTAGACATATACAGATAGAAAACGAGACCAGAAGTATAGACAGTAGACATATACAGATAGAAAACGAGACCAGAAGTATAGACAGTAGACATATACAGATAGAAAACGAGACCAGATGTGTAGACAGTAGACATATACAGATAGAAAACGAGACCAGATGTGTAGACAGTAGACATATACAGATAGAAAACGAGACCAGATGTGTAGACAGTAGACATATACAGATAGAAAACGAGACCAGATGTGTAGACAGTAGACATATACAGATAGAAAACGAGACCAGATGTGTAGACAGTAGACATAAAAACGAGATAGAAAACGAGACCACATGTGACAGTAGACATATACAGATAGAAACGAGACCAGATATATACAGATATAAAAAAAATGAGACCAGATGTGTAGACAGTAGACATATACAGATAGAAAACGAGACCAGATGTGTAGACAGTAGACATATACAGATAGAAAACGAGACCAGATGTGTGTAGACAGTAGACATATACAGATAGAAAACAGAGACCAGATGTGTAGACAGTAGACATATACAGATAGAAAACGAGACCAGATGTGTAGACAGTAGACATACAGATAGAAAAACGAGACCAGATGTGTAGACAGTAGACATATACAGATAGAAAACGACCAGACCAGAATACAGATAGAAACGAGACCAGACATTAGACATATACAGATAGAAAAAATGAGACCAGATGTGTAGACAGTAGACATATACAGATAGAAAACGAGACCAGAAGTATAGACAGTAGACATATACAGATAGAAAACGAGACCAGATGTGTAGACAGTAGACATATACAGATAGAAAACGAGACCAGATGTGTAGACAGTAGATATATACAGATAGAAAACGAGACCAGATGTGTAGACAGGCAAAATCAGCTTTGAATCCTCATCCTGCTACTGCTTCTATCTCTAACGAATTCACAGACAAGATAAACACTGTCGTCCGAGGTATCTCAATTTATTCAAATTACTGCAAGAATACTTTCCTGTTTAAAGATCATCAACCAGGCTACATACATTAATAATTCTGGATTCCTCATTTACTTCAATTTGTTTTCATTAAAGACATTGTTAGTAATCAATAGTTTGTGGTGTGAAATTTGTTTTCAGCAAAGAAGTTGCCATAGCTGCGAGGATTTCACACCTGAAATCTCCACAAATCATAATGGCCACTGGGCGTCGAAATTCCCGTAGAATCTGGTTATCTACCAGCTTATTGATGTCAGTATGCGATGTCCATGAAGATCAAAAACACCTTCAAGTAACAACGCTAGAAATTTATATACAATTTTAGTGTTTTCGATCATAATCTTTCTTAAGACGTATTGTAAATTGTGATTAGATATATGTTTTTATAGCACTTTTGATCTCATAAGTGACACGAGAGACGTATACTCAAAAAAGTGATAGTATGCCCGATATATATATATATATATATATATATATATATAGAGAGAGAGAGAGAGAGTTGTTTATTTTGGCAGCAATCCCTATTTAATGTTTCGTTGAACATGACTAATAGTTATTTTAGTTTAGTTTATCATGTTTTTCTTACATATGTTCAAGCGTTTTCTTCCCAATATTTAACGAATGTAAACATTGTCCAAAAGTATGTTGTTTTCAAGCGCTTTCTACTAAATCGATAGCCATTTTCAACGATTATTTTTTTACTATACTGGTATAATAAATGACCTGGAATTGTCCTGTTCACAATTTATTTTTATTAAGGCTTGGTTTCTTGTTTTTGTAATAAAATTTTCATCATCTCATTATACATATATATATATATACATTTTACATATATATATATATATATATATATATATATATATATATCGCCAAGTATAGGATTGGTGTATACGGAGTAAATTCCAATAACCAACAATTACTATTCTTAAAAGAGTGCTAAATACAGAGTAGAGCTAATATAATTATTTATTTAAAAATTATAAATTTTATAGATTCTACATTCAACATCATCACTTGATAAGATACCAGAGGTGTTGAAACAAAATGGCTAATTTTGTAGTGATTTTAAAACATATTTATGTTATAATTTTTAAATAAATAATTATATATATGTTATGATGTTGATTTGGGGTTAGTAGAGACAAACGCCAAATAACACGTAACAATAAAAAGGGTTTTAAAAGGTTGGTAAAAAGGTACAGAAATCGCCTGAGTAGTCAATAACTAGCTCAGCTAAGAACTTCTCTGTCTGTCTTTTGACATGCCACTATTTAAAGTCTTTGTTCGCGGACAAGTTCATCTTCAAGAGGGGTGGTAGGTTTCCGACACAACACCTCCCCCTTGAGATTAATTCCGGAGGAATTAATATCTTTTTTCTTTTGGGAAAAGGTTCCACCCTAGTTCTTTTTCTTTTGCTTGTCCTTTGGACAACTGTTTCAGGCAATGGTGGATGTGGTATATCAAATAAATCATATAATACCTCCATTGGTTCTTCATTTTCTTTAATTATTTCTTCGATGATTCTTTTCCTTAATTGGTTCAAATGTCTTTTGTGCGTCCATTTTTTACTTCTTATCATGTACAACATTTTACCAATTCTTTGCGTTACCACTCCATCTTGTCAAAATCCCTTCCCATTTTTGTAATTTAAAAAAAAAACTCTCCCGGCCTGAGATATTTCATATTTTCTTGATGCGTTTTGTTCTGGTAACTCTTTTTTCTTTCCGGCTGCAGCCTATTGAACACAGATCTAATTTTTCTAGCAAACATCAGTTCAGCTGGAGACATCCCTGATATTGCGTTTGGATTTGGTGTTATTCTGTACATACTTAAAAACTGCTGTATATTACCATCATCTGTATTTATATTGACGAATCTCAATGCTAGGCATACCCAGACCGCCCTCAGAGGGATGAAGGCAACAGATATCGCGACATACCATATGGGCCTTGCCTCTCCACAAGAAAGCGAACAAGGTCTGGACTAATGACATTAGTCGAGCATACGGGAGTGGAAGCACAGAGAGTCGGTACAGGAGGATCGGAAACACATACTTCCGCCATTCCCTTCAGGGAAAGTCTCCTCCGAGACCACAGATTAACCGCGACCTCGGCCTTCCCTTGTACCTCCGACCAGTTCATTTCCAACTGGAGATCAGGACCGAACCAGACGCCGAGTATCTTGATCGGCACATCCGTCCAGAGGAAAGGTCCGGGAAGAGAAACTCCCTTCCACGCACCCAACCGCAAGCCCACAGACTTATCGCGGTTGATCTTGGCCCCTGTCACCATCTCATACCCACTGATCTCTTTGCTGACTTCGTTAATCTCGTCTCTGCTCGACACAAGAACCGAAACGTCGTCAGCACAGGCAGAATACCTGGCTGAGGTGGAAGCCCCAGGCAGGGAAATTCCGCGCAGGACCGGATTCGCCTTTAACTTGCGAAGGAAAGGTTCCAACGCAAGAACGTAAAGCAGAGGCGAGAGCGGACAACCTTGACGAATGGAGCGAGACAATACGAAAGGCTTCGATCTTACCCCATTCACTTCCACCAGCGCACCGGGGGCCGCATACAAAAAGTCGGATCCAGGAGCGAAAGTCGGCTCCGAAACCGGCCGCCGAAAGGACAGCCTCCAGAAATCGATGGTCAACCCTATCGAAGGCCTTGGACTGATCTAAATTAATCAGCGCGGCTTCACTGTCGACTTGTTCTAAGATCAAGCGTACCATATGAAGGTTATCCTGAATAGTCCTACACTTCACAGAACAAGTCTGTTCAGGGCCAATCAGACTAGACAGGACAAGATCTTCGCCAAAATCTTTAAGTCAGTATTTAACATCGTTAAAGGGCGAAAGTTCCCTAACCCATCCCCACCGTCCTTGTCCTTACGCAGCAATTTGATCACACACCTGGTGAAGCGTTGAGGTAAAGACCCCTCCTTGAGGCAGGGAAAGTCAGCTAAATAGGCGTCGAAATGAGCAGAGCTCAGACCGGGCTCCCTGGTAAAAAGATCCTGAAAGTAATCCCGAAACACCTCCCATATGCCCGCGTTTGTAGTCACAGTCCGATTATCCGGCAATGTGACGCACGCTATATGTCGCCTAGACGCGTTCCGATTCTCCTCTGCACGCAGTTCAGCGGCCATATTCGTCGCCTCAGAAGACATTCTTTTTAACCTAGCCCTAACTACCAGAGCTTGATCCTTCTTGATAAGCAAGGAGGACAACTATGCCTTAGCTAAAGCTATTTCCCCACTAACACGGGATTTCACAGCCCGATCAACTTTATCTTCTAAAGCCGTTTGCGCCGCTAATCTATCTAGATTGAGTCGAATAGATTGAATCGGCAGCAAACGTTCGAATTTTAGATTTTAAATTGCCCCACTAGGCATTTCCCACAACCGCACCCGTCAATTCCCTTTGTATCATTAGTAACAGCTGGTCCCAAAAACACTGCTCACCAAAAAGTGAACAGTTCAATTTCCAGTAGCCAGCCAATCTAGCCTTAGGCTTATCTAAGTTTACACGGACCCGGACAAGCCTATGATGCATATAAACTATGTAATGGAAACTTGGACACCCTAAGAGCCCTACATCGACTCTCCTAACTAAGACTCGGTCCAGGGAGCTCGCAAGCGTCCCAGGAGCCGAGTTGCCACTAGTTGTGCAAGTCCATGCTACCTCCCGAGGGTGTTCATTCCGGAACTTATCGACAAGATCAAACCCATCGATAAAGTCCCGAAATGGTTTCACGTCCGGGTTGTTAGTACCTTGTTTTTGCCCTATACGATCTATATCGGGGTCAAGGACGGCATTCCAATCCCCCGCTAAAACTACCCGACGGGACGTCGTCACGAACGGCGCGATCTGCCGAAACAAAGCAGGCCGTTCGGAATGGGTATTGGGCGCATAAACCCCAATGAGACTAAGAACCTTATCCTTTATGGTAACATCCAGTACGCAAAGTCTGCCCGCCGGATCCGCGAAGACAAGGGTACATGCAGCCTTCAAAGACCTGCTCACTAGCCAAGAGACACCCCTCGAACGACCATCAAAACAGGCTGAATAAAGGGCGAACCCCTTAGACAGTATGTCCTCACGATCATGAGAAGAAAATCGGGTCTCTTGTACACAACATACATTCACCCCGAGGAGCTGAAGGTCACGAGAGAGCCTCGCCCTGCGAGACTCGGACCTCAGGCCCCGGACATTCAAAGTAGCTAACCAGAGTGTCATTGTGAAACCGATTAGAGTTGTCCTTCAGGATAGAACATGGCTGGGGTGAGGACACCGACAGCTCGTCCCATAGAACCAGACGCCATCTCACTTTCGATAGTATCATCGTGAG